GGGAGGCTGAGGCAGGAGAATGGCGTGAACCCAGGAGGTGAAGGTTGCAGTGAGCCGAGATCACACCATTGCACTCCAGCCTAGGTGACAGAGCGAGACTCCTCAAAAAAAAAAAAAAAAAAAAAAAAAAAATTGAAACCCCTTTAATAAACTGTAATTACTAGGAATATATGAATTTTCCTTGGAACTAAAAGATGCTTTTAAATACTGCATTTCCATTATTTCATTGTTCATTTCTTAAGAGGTTTTTAAAAAATGTTTTATAGCTGGTTCCAGCAGTGCCATTGGAACTCAGGAGAGTACTGCTCATTTGTTGGTTTCAGATCCAAACCTTATTCATGTATTAGTGAAATTTCTTTCTGGCACCAGTCCACATGGAACAAATCAACACAGTCCACAGGTAATGTAATGTTTAGCCTGGGATATGCCCAGACTATTCAATAAACAGTATTTGTAATGTAAAGCTATGTAATTTTTTAATTGCTAAAGTATTAAATAATAGCCTTTTATATATCAATATAATAAAAAAGGTTTTGTTATTTGTAGTAATCGCTATACTGACACTAAATAATAGCAGGTGGTAAGTTAACCTCTTAGAACAGTGATACTAGGTTTTCATGTAGTTACATATTTTTGGCATTAATTTTGGATAACTGGAGACATTCTGAGTAAATACTGCAAAGGTAGAGAAACGTTTCAAAAATTTTGGAATCAAAATACATTTTAATATGTCATATTTGATTACTTCCATCAAGATTATCAATTTACCTTAAACGTTTTATGATGTTAATGATTTTGCTTAGCAAAAAATAACAATATTGCTCAGGGCTTATAAACATTTTCTGTTTCACTGTAAATTTTCCTTTATATCAGTTTAATTTCTTGTTATGTTATACTGCTTCTGTGTAAATATTTCTACTTCATTATATTTCTTTTAAAGTAAAAATATATTTAGCATTTAAACATCTTTTAAAATCAAGGTTATTCAAGATTATCTTGCAAGTTTATCATTTTAAAATTCTTGGATTTGCTGCCAGATAAATTCTGATTTAGTTGTCCTCAACAGTCCAGTTTTTCCTATTAATTCATTTATTCGGTGTTTAAGAGGCTTCTATGTGCTTATTCTAGCTACTAGAGATACAGTATTTACCAAGATCAAATATCTGCCTTCATAGAACTTTAGTCAATACTCTAATACTTAATATATTTTAATTTTATATGTCTTAATAAAATAAATGAGACAAGGAACAAGTAAGAGAGAGAAAACTAACTTACAATTAGATTGGGACAGGGTTTTGGTAGGGGCAGAGACATGTTATCAAGTGATTATTATACTTAAAGATTGATTGAATTTGTAACAGGAAGACTCCTCGGGATCACCAACTCTGACTTAATTATTTTACATGTAAGAAAACATGCATCAGCTACATTGCCCCAAATTACATAACTAGTTATTGGTATAGCTAGGTGTCAGTGAACAAGGCATTGCAAAAAATAATATTTTCCTTGTTTTTTAATAAAAGACAGGAGGAAATAACTTTTTAAAACTTTTTAAGTTGTTGAAGATTGAGCTTTCCTACTGATATCTTGGTTTTGTATAGGAAGTTTTGATAAGAAAGCTATGATTTGTATGCTCAGTATCAGAAATTAACTTTATTTAACTCTAAAATAGTTTGGAGGATTATGTTCTGTTTTATTTTTCCAGAGCTCCTCCAAGGTTTTATGAATTGTTCATCAAGCCAAATTAGGATCAAGTAAAATAATATGTAGAAGTGTTAGAGCACATTCCAAAATGTACTTCAGGTTACTTAGTGCAGTGTTCACTATCATTTCTTTCATTGATGAGTTAGAAGTTTGGGGAAGCAGTTTTTTTTTTTTTTTTTTGACTTGGTATAAATTTATTTTTATTTAGTTTTTGTTTTGTTTTTCACTTAGCTTAATGCTTGCTTTGCTAGTTGTTAGAAACATGACCTTTTATGGATCATTTTACCTCTCTGCTCCTGAGTTATTTGATTTTGAAATGGGATAATTAAGAAAGTTATTTGTGAAAATCTATGTTGAAGTTATTTATACTCTAGAAAGCATTATAAAAGTATGTATTGTGTAATTCAGGTGAACTTTTTTCAGTATTGAGTTCAATAAACCTAATATAGTTGTGCTGTATAAACCATAATGAAGAAGTATTAACAGTATTTTTATTTGCAGTTCAAAATAAATACATCAAGACCTAAAAAATTCATTTCCTGCTATCATTAATACTTTTGCTTTTCTCCTATGAAAAGTTACAGTGTATAGCTTTTGACTTTATACCTGATAATTTTTAAATGAATGATTTTTAACATGTTATCAGTAAGCAGTTTTCAGTGAATATACATTTCTTTTCAGGTTGGTCCCACAGCTACACAAGCTATGCAAGAATTTCTTACTCGATTACAAGTGCATCTTTCTTCAACATGTCCTCAGATATTCAGTGAATTTTTGCTCAAGCTAATTCATATACTTTCAACTGAAAGGTAAATTTTTGTGTACTAATTTGTTCCTGATATAGAAGTAACATGTAATTCTCCAAATATACTTTTCTTTAACATTTGTTGGGAATTTATCTGTAAATAAATAAGCAGGAGGACAGTAGGAAGAGGGAAGGATTTACTGGTGTGTTTCCTGATCGTTTTCATTTCATTTCATTATGGTTCTCCCAAGTCCTTCTGTCTCTAATGTCTTTAATATGAAAGGAATACAGTTGACTTGCTTTTAATGGTTAATAGTTATTATAAGCTTTTTAAAAGGTGAAATTTATTTTGAAGCTATTTAAAGTTACCAGTGATTTTATATATAAGATAACCTGAAAAATAGAGCTTATAAAAGAAAATTATATACTAATCTTCTGTAGAAATTCTAAATAAATTTATTAACAAAATCAGACTCTGTTATAAGAATAAATTTTGACCATAATGGGTTGATTATTGTAATGCATGAATGTTTCAATATCATATATCTCTTATTAATGTCATTGGTTTTCATTCGATATTTCTTAAAATCCAACATTACTTTCTGATGAAAACTTTTGTTTGTTTTTTTTTTTTTTTGAGATGGAGTCTTGCTCTGTTGCCAGGCTGGAGTGCAGTGGTGCAGTCTTGGCTCACTGCAACCTCTGCCTCCTGGGTTGAAGCGATTCTCGTGCCTTAGCCTCCTGAGTAGCTGGGATTACAGGCATGCACCACCACACCCGGCTAATTTTTGTATTTTTACTGGAGACGGAGTTTCACTATGTTGGCCAGGATGGTGTCGATCTCCTGACCTCATGATCTGCCCGCCTCAGCTTTCCGAAGTGCTGGGATTACAGGTTTGAGCCACCGTGCCTGGCTGAAAACTTAATGAATTATAAAGTGTTATTTTGTTTTTGAAGTTACAATAAAACTACATGATGAACAAATTGCATGATTAATGAAACATCCGGCATGCTTGAGTATTTCAAAAAATCTCCATTAATATAAGGAATAGGGCTGGGCTCAGTGGCTCACGCCTGTAATCCCAGTACCTTGGGAGGCTGAGGTGGGGAGATCGCTTGAGCCCAGGAGTTTGAGAGCAGCCTGGGTGGTGTGGGTATACACCTGTAATCCCAGCTACTGTGGAGGCTGAGGCAGGAGATTGATTGAACTAGTGGAGCCCAGGAGGTGGAGGCTGCTGTGAGCCCTGATTGTGCCACTGTGCTCCAACCTGGGTGACAGAACAACACTCTGTTTCAAATAAATTAATGATCAGGAATAAGTCAGTAGTGGCTCTTGCCACTTTTTCGTCTAATTTTATTCAAATAAACAATATTTATACATACTTTGTGAGGATTTTGTGAAATTTTGAATGACATAAATAGAATCACCTGAGCAGTAAAGATTAGTCACCATTTGTTTTATTTTTCTTTTAACTAGGCTTTTTAATTTTAACTCTGCAGGCTTTAGCATAGTCTGATCCACAGAGTTCACAACAGTGGAGATTTTCATACTAAACTTTTAATACATTTGCTCTAACATTTTTTAAAGGATTATTAATCTTGTTTGTAGTTGAGTCACATCTAATATTTAAGCAGAGATGTTTTGAGGTTTATATGCCACAAAAACTGCTTAGGAATTTTCTCCACCTCACTTCACCCCACATATACCCAGTACATTTCCATGGCCTAGTTTAATAGGGTCCACAAAGCTGTGGCCCAAGAAGAATGTTAGTTTATGTTTGTTTTTAATAAAGGCTCTGGTATTCCGTGAAAGATCCAGCAGCGCTTTAGTTAGATTAATGATATACATTGAAAGAAATACTCAGTATAAAGAAGGCATTCAGTTTTATCAGATGTTTTGCAAATGCTATCTATTGGTCTTCGGACTCTGTTTTCACTTTATTAAGTATCCTTCAAAAAGCAGAAGTTTTAAAATTCTAGATATAATCTAAATTGTCAACGTCTACATATTTTTT